TATGCTAATAAAATTAACATAAATTGTAATTAAACCAAATTTGAAAGAAAAGAACAAATAATTTTTAAAGCTTCAGTTTCGTCATGCTCAATTTCACTTTGAAAAAATTCTGGCCAATAAACAAGATAATCTCTTGTATACAAAATCATCTCAAACCATGAGTTCCATCTGGTTTTAGTAGGAAAGGGTATTTTTTTTATATTTATTATACCACAAAAATGCAAATGATCAATATATCGACAACGTCGTGCTGGGCTTTGTGTAAATATTTCCTTAATTTTATCTAATAAAGTTTTAACAGATGAAAATGAATCAAATATGCGCCATATATCTCTAAATAAACAAATGAATAATTAATTTATTAATAAATTAAAATAAAATAATATATTTTAATAATTTTACCCAATTAAATTCAAGATATAGGCACAGCACAGAATATGAATTAATTGTAGTATCAGCGGATGTAATCTTTCGTGATATCATTTTTTCATGTATGATGCCGAATTAGTTAAAAAAAGATGAGGTAATGTAATTGAAATATTATAATTTGCAAGTACACTAATAATATTTTGACCAATGGTTAAATTATTTACGGTTGTAAAAAAATCTACCAAAACTAATTTTGTATTTTCACGATATAAAAAAAGTGTATTAACTACACTTTGTTGACAATCATCTGTAGTTTCATCTACAATTATTGAAACTGGTTTTTGAACAAATAACATTTTAAGAAAATCTAAATGTGTAAAAAAAATATTTGTTACATATAACTGCCGTAATGCTGATACTTAAGGGATAGCACCACCTTCCTTACAATATTTTTTAAAAAATGGAAGTAATGAGTTTACTTTTTCCAATAAAATGTCTGCAATTATAAAAGCCTCTACTAAATCATGTACAATTTTTTTTTTAAATTCAGAAGCAGAAAAATTAATTGTTTGTTGAAGCTGACGATGTTGCTTATTTTCTTAAAATGTTTTTTTAGAAATATGTGCTTTACTTTTAAGATGATAATCAATAGTTGATTTCAAATGATCACAAAAGTTACAAAATAAAATGTTATTTTCAATTCTAAATTCACTAGGATTTTCTTCAACTTTTGTATGAACCGTAATAGAAGATTTAGACTGCCTACTTCTTTTCATTGTATAAAAAAAATATATATATTGAAAAAGACTAATTGTTAAAAAAAAAACCATGAAAAAAACATTTTATATTCTTTTTTATCTCAATATATATTTTCGCACAAAAGCTGTGCTATATTTAAAAAATAAGGCTAACCCTTTCTTGTGACAATAGCCTCTAATTTTTAGCAATACTTAGGTACTCTTTGCTTGTTCTTTTCAACACCAGTTTTATTTTAATAACAATATCCAGCTTGATTTTTAAGTGACCTGCTGCATG